TATGGGATGTCAAAACAGGATAATAAAAAGCCAAATTAGATGGTCATACTAGTTATGTCTACTCAGTTTGTTTCTCTCCTGATGGAAATACATTAGCCTCTGGTAGTGGTGATAAGTCTATCCGTCTATGGGATGTCAAAACAGGATAATAAAATACCAAATTAGATGGTCATAGTAGTTATGTTTAGTCAGTCTGTTTCTCTCCTGATGGAAATACATTAGCTTCTGGTAGTGTTGATTAGTCTATCCGTCTATGGGATGTCAAAACTGGATAATAAAAAGACAAATTAGACGTACATACTAGTTGTATTAACTCAGTCTGTTTCTTTCGTGATGGAAATACATTTGCTTTTGGTACTAATGATAAGTCTATCCGTCTATGGGATGTCAAAACAAGAGAATAAAAAGCCAAATTAGATGGTCATACTAGTTTTATTAACTCAGTCTGTTTATCTCTTGATGGAAATACATTAGCTTCTGGTAGTAATGATAAGTATATCCGTCTATGGGATGTCAAAACAGGATAATAAAAAGCCAAATTAGTTGGTCATACTAGTTGTATTAACTCAGTCTGTTTCTCTCCTGATGGAAATACATTAGCTTCTGGTAGTAATGATAAGTATATCCGTCTATGGGATGTCAAAACAGGATATTAAAAAGCCAAATTAGATGGTCATACTAGTTATGTCTACTCAGTTTGTTTCTCTCCTGATGGAAATACATTAGCTTCTGGTAGTGGTGATAAGTCTATCCGTCTATGGGATGTTAAAACAGGATAGGAAATTAAATCCTCTGATAAAAACTACAAAGATATTCTTGCATAATTCAAGATTACACTCCAATAACAGAGCCATATTTCAGAAGGTAGTATTTATCATCTATCATATTTATAGCCTCCAATTACATCACTACACTACTTATATCCCAAGAAGCAATATTTTAAGCCAAAGGAGCTTTAATTCTGAAAGGAGAGTTTATAAATCAATCAGGTATTGATTTAAAGACATTGTTTAAACAAAAAGGAAGTTGCTTTTTGGAAGACCTTAAGTAAAAGTGATAATTATTATTCATAAAGAACATTACAACAATTATTATTTTAATTCATTCTTCATATTTTTTTAATTATATCTTTTTTTGGCTATGTTCTTAATATTGATTTCTTAAGATTCATAGGGTATATTTATTGAGATCTCCTTTAAAAAAAAACTGATATTAATTAACATTTATAGAGATTTAATATTAAATGATACTACATTAAATTAATAATCCAAACAAAGAACAGTAAGCTAAATGAAGAGATTAAAATAAAGATTGATTTTAATTACTTAAATGAAACCTAACTTAACAAAACAGCATGATTATTCTATAAGATATTCTTAAAATTTATTTAATTTATTACTATTTATAAACATAAGTTTTAATAGATGTAATTAATAATTTTGTAAAATTAGTTTATAAATAGTAAAAGATATGACAAGAATTAAAAAAATAAAGTTAATCTTTTAAACTATATAACAAAGTTAAAACAATATGATATTGATTAATTTTATCATTACTCTCAATTCAAGATAATCTATCAATCACCTGTTAATTGATAAGATATTAAAAAACTTTGAAAACATATTAAAAAATATTATAATTTTGTAATTATTAAGATTAAAGGAGATAATTATATCTTCTCCAACCTTTATATATGAATCTTAATTATTGATTAACTTGAGCTCAACTTGAAATTTTACATACATCAAATAATAGACATTTATAAATCACTGAAATTATGTATAATCGCTATTACCTTCAAGATGATTTTAACTAAATTAATTAATATCTAGACAAAATATATATCCAAAATCTCATAGTGGTAAAATACTTTACTTTTCATCTCTAATAATGAATTAACGCCCTATAAAATTAGATTAATTGGATAAGAAATCTATAGAACTAACTAAATATAAAAAAAGAAGAAAATCAATGGTTGTTATCTTTGGGTTCATGCATATATGTATGTTTATGTTGAAATATACAAAATTATAGTTAATTGATTATTCAATAATTTTCAATTTTTTCAAAAACCTTAATAATCAAGCTTTATAAATATTTTGTAATCCTTTATTAATAGAGAATACATTTTATATAAACATGATTGAATTTTACAATTATTCCATAAATTATTATTGTTTATCATAATTTTTCATTTGTCATATAATTTTAATTCCTCATTTTCCTCCTCCTGCATATTCTCCTTAAGACTAGTCATTTATTATAACTTCTTAAAAAAATCTCCTTTTTAACTTAAAACTCTCTTTCTCATGATTTCACTTATCCAAGTTTTAAAATCATGCTTTTTATATATTATAAGGAATCAAAAGGGCTATTAAATTATAAACTGAATATATTAATTATTCTTAAACAGAGATTTTGACAAAAAGAATGAATCAATTAATCATAGAACTCAAATTATGTATAAATTAAAATTAAAATAATCATATAATATAAAAATATTCTATATTATTAAAAAATCAATTAATGCAGATGTTGAAATGAATTCTCAATCGCATCATTTAAATCTAATACAATCAATTCCAAATCTACACAAAGTCCTAACTTCTATTTTATAGAAATGCACAAGATACTTTTATGGATTTTGCATTATATAAATTAAAGTTAGAGTAATAAAAATTCAATATTAAAAATAAAAAAGAAAATGCAAGGCTCTTTTTTAGAGAAGGAAGCTCTAGCTGACATCTTTAGTCAAATAAAAGGTGTAGATGAGCAAATTTTTGGTGTCATTTTAGAAAAATTAAGAAAGGAAAAAGTTTAAGGCATCATTGGATATCTTTCTGATAAGGGGACTCAAAGCCAATTAGAATCATGTATCTTAAAAAAAGGAGTCTTTATCACCCAGGCTGATAAAGAATAGAAATTGTCTGTAGTTAGAAATGATATCATATAAATCACAGAAGTCTTAAGAAAATTAAAAGACCATGACTTCAATAAGATAAACTATTCCTCTGAAGAAAATTTAGAATCTTCATTAAATCTAATTAATAGCGTCAAGGATAATAAATAGATCATCGAATTTCTTTAATTTTTAGTTCAACTTACATCTATTGATAACTCTCTAATATAATGCGGGTCTAATTCATTACATATATTAGTTTATATGAGGGTGGACCTTAGAAATAAATGTTTTGAAAATATCAGGATCAAGAATACTTCTATAATTAGAGGTAATTTTGTTGGATTTAATTTCAATGGATCTGAATTTGATAATCTGTTCGATTGTAAATTGAAGAACATTGAAATCCATGAATTGAATAAATTTGATGGTCATGCAAGCACTGTCTACTCAGTATGTTTCTCACCTGATGGAAATACATTAGCATCTGGTAGCGAAGATAAGTCTATCCGTTTATGGGATGTCAAAACAGGGTAATAAAAAGACAAACTAGATAGTCATACTAGCACTATCTACTCAATATTTTTCTCTCCTGATGGAAATACATTAGCATGTAATGAAGATAAGTCTATCCGTCTATGGGATGTCAAAACAGGATAATAAAAAGCCAAATTAGATGGTCATGATAATTGGGTAAGATCAGTCTGTTTCTCTCCTGATGGAAATATATTAGCTTCTGGTAGTGATGATAAGTCTATCCGTCTATGGGATGTCAAAACAGGATAATAAAAAGCCAAATTAGATGGTCATNATTTTGTAATTATTAAGATTAAAGGAGATAATTATATCTTCTCCAACCTTTATATATGAATCTTAATTATTGATTAACTTGAGCTCAACTTGAAATTTTACATACATCAAATAATAGACATTTATAAATCACTGAAATTATGTACATAGCTTTTAAAAGAGTCAAACTATATAATCGCTATTACCTTCAAGATGATTTTAACTAAATTAATTAATATCTAGACAAAATATATATCCAAAATCTCATAGTGGTAAAATACTTTACTTTTCATCTCTAATAATGAATTAACGCCCTATAAAATTAGATTAATTGGATAAGAAATCTATAGAACTAACTAAATATAAAAAAAGAAGAAAATCAATGGTTGTTATCTTTGGGTTCATGCATATATGTATGTTTATGTTGAAATATACAAAATTATAGTTAATTGATTATTCAATAATTTTCAATTTTTTCAAAAACCTTAATAATCAAGCTTTATAAATATTTTGTAATCCTTTATTAATAGAGAATACATTTTATATAAACATGATTGAATTTTACAATTATTCCATAAATTATTATTGTTTATCATAATTTTTCATTTGTCATATAATTTTAATTCCTCATTTTCCTCCTCCTGCATATTCTCCTTAAGACTAGTCATTTATTATAACTTCTTAAAAAAATCTCCTTTTTTAACTTAAAACTCTCTTTCTCATGATTTCACTTATCCAAGTTTTAAAATCATGCTTTTTATATATTATAAGGAATCAAAAGGGCTATTAAATTATAAACTGAATATATTAATTATTCTTAAACAGAGATTTTGACAAAAAGAATGAATCAATTAATCATAGAACTCAAATTATGTATAAATTAAAATTAAAATAATCATATAATATAAAAATATTCTATATTATTAAAAAATCAATTAATGCAGATGTTGAAATGAATTCTCAATCGCATCATTTAAATCTAATACAATCAATTCCAAATCTACACAAAGTCCTAACTTCTATTTTATAGAAATGCACAAGATACTTTTATGGATTTTGCATTATATAAATTAAAGTTAGAGTAATAAAAATTCAATATTAAAAATAAAAAAGAAAATGCAAGGCTCTTTTTTAGAGAAGGAAGCTCTAGCTGACATCTTTAGTCAAATAAAAGGTGTAGATGAGCAAATTTTTGGTGTCATTTTAGAAAAATTAAGAAAGGAAAAAGTTTAAGGCATCATTGGATATCTTTCTGATAAGGGGACTCAAAGCCAATTAGAATCATGTATCTTAAAAAAAGGAGTCTTTATCACCCAGGCTGATAAAGAATAGAAATTGTCTGTAGTTAGAAATGATATCATATAAATCACAGAAGTCTTAAGAAAATTAAAAGACCATGACTTCAATAAGATAAACTATTCCTCTGAAGAAAATTTAGAATCTTCATTAAATCTAATTAATAGCGTCAAGGATAATAAATAGATCATCGAATTTCTTTAATTTTTAGTTCAACTTACATCTATTGATAACTCTCTAATATAATGCGGGTCTAATTCATTACATATATTAGTTTATATGAGGGTGGACCTTAGAAATAAATGTTTTGAAAATATCAGGATCAAGAATACTTCTATAATTAGAGGTAATTTTGTTGGATTTAATTTCAATGGATCTGAATTTGATAATCTGTTCGATTGTAAATTGAAGAACATTGAAATCCATGAATTGAATAAATTTGATGGTCATGCAAGCACTGTCTACTCAGTATGTTTCTCACCTGATGGAAATACATTAGCATCTGGTAGCGAAGATAAGTCTATCCGTTTATGGGATGTCAAAACAGGGTAATAAAAAGACAAACTAGATAGTCATACTAGCACTATCTACTCAATATTTTTCTCTCCTGATGGAAATACATTAGCATGTAATGAAGATAAGTCTATCCGTCTATGGGATGTCAAAACAGGATAATAAAAAGCCAAATTAGATGGTCATGATAATTGGGTAAGATCAGTCTGTTTCTCTCCTGATGGAAATATATTAGCTTCTGGTAGTGATGATAAGTCTATCCGTCTATGGGATGTCAAAACAGGATAATAAAAAGCCAAATTAGATGGTCATACTAGTACTGTCTACTCAGTCTGTTTCTCTCCTGATGGAAATACATTAGCTTCTGGTAGTGATGATAAGTCTATCCGTCTATGGGATGTCAAAACAGGATAATAAAAAGCCAAATTAGATGGTCATACTAGTACTGTCTACTCAGTCTGTTTCTCTCCTGATGGAAATACATTAGCTTCTGGTAGTGATGATAAGTCTATCCGTCTATGGGATGTCAAAACAGGATAATAAAAAGCCAAATTAGATGGTCATACTAGTACTGTCTACTCAGTCTGTTTCTCTCCTGATGGAAATACATTAGCTTCTGGTAGTGATGATAAGTCTATCCGTCTATGGGATGTCAAAACAGGATAATAAAAAGCCAAATTAGATGGTCATAGTAATTATGTCAACTCAGTCTGTTTCTCTCCTGATGGAAATACATTAGCTTCTGGTAGTGATGATAAGTCTATCCGTCTATGGGATGTCAAAACAGGATAATAAAAAGCCAAATTAGATGGTCATGATAATTGGGTAAGATCAGTCTGTTTCTCTCCTGATGGAAATATATTAGCTTCTGGTAGTGATGATAAGTCTATCCGTCTATGGGATGTCAAAACAGGATAATAAAAAGCCAAATTAGATGGTCATAGTAACTATGTTATGTCAGTCTGTTTCTCTCCTGATGGAAATATATTAGCTTCTAGCAGTAGTGATAACTCTATCCGTCTATGGGATGTTAAAACAGGATAAGAAATTAAATCCTCTGATAAAAACTACAAAGATATTCTTGCATAATTTAAGATTCCACTCTAATAACATAACCATATTTCGGAAATTAGTATTTATCTCCTATCATATTTTTATCCTAAAATTACATCACTACACTACTTATATCCCAAGAAGCAATATTTCAAGCCAAAGGAGCTGTAATTCTGAAAGGAGAGTTTATCAATCAATCAGGTATAGACTTAAAGACATTGTTTAAACAAAAGGGTAGCTGTATTTTAGAAGACTTATAGTAAAAGTGAGTTTAATCATTATCAACAAAAATTATAACAACAATAATTTCCAATATTTTGTTTAATTATATCTTTATTAGTTTGATCCTTCATCTTCACTTCATAAGATAGGTAAGTAATTATTTACCAAAGCTTGATTCTATTTTAGTTAAATGTACACATCCTTTACTTAAAATAATTATTTAAAGAAAACAAAATTACAAAATTGCATCCTAATTAATTCATCTAAGATTATTATGATAGATTAACTTAATTTATTATTATCTTTAAAAGGGATTGGTAAAAATAATAAGTTTAATTTTTAATTCCTAAATATTAAAATGATATATTTACTAACAAAAATAATTAAAAAGATATGCCAAGAATTAAAAAATAAAGTTAATACTAGAATTAATTTAAACTATAAAATAGTTTAAACAATTTTATTGAAAAATAAGAAAAGTCTTTATTTGAATATACAATATTGTAAAGATTTTATAAAGATCTTATTTGAAATATTTTTTTTGTTTCAAACTAACTCTAAGCATATAAATATTATGTTTTGTAATAGATTTTACAAAAATAAAATTTAAAATTTAATATCCAAATTTTCTAAATTCAATTATAGAACTAAAATCAATCGATTTATTTTAACCTTATCGCAAATATTTCCTTTTATTTTCAACAATAATTTTTAGTGTTGAAAGTATTCAAATTTCATCGAGCAAAGGTACGATCTGATTCAATTCTTTAATTGATAATTAATATTTTTTGATGAAAAGGCTTATAAAAATTAATAAATTATGGCAATAATTAATTAGATTAATGTAAAAAAAAAAAAAGGAGATTGATAAGATGGAAATTTATTTCTATAGAGCTCAACTATTCATTTTTTAATCTTATTAAATTTCTTAATTTAATACAACCATTTAAGAGGTTTCTCTTAATATTTTCATATTTTTCATTGTTTTTTCCAATCCTCCATTATACTCATATATTCTACTATATATATATATATTATATAATATATCTCTAGATGTTATTTAGTAGGGTCTTAATTTCTAGAACGCATTCTTTTTAAAATACTACTATTAAGATTAATTAGGAAATTAATAATAATTATCAAATGATTTACATATTATGGAGAATTTTTATAGAAGTAATTCCAATTGGAATCACTTGAAATTTTTTTCTTATCAATTGGCATTATTCTATCGCAAAACATTGAGATAATAAATAAACTTCTCAAAAATAAATTAAAGTTTACATAAATTCTTTTTACTCATATTCCTTATCTAAATTAAACAAGAATGAACATTGGAATTATATTGATTTAGCAATTTGAGAAAAACTCATAAGAAAAAAATGACAAAATAATTAGTTTTCAACATTAACAGAATTAAAGTAATAGAAAGAAACTCTTAACTCACAATCAAGGCTCTGAGATTAGTTTCTAATTAAACAGAAGTATTAAACTTTAAACTAAAGAAAATATTTACAGAAAATATGCTAAGAGAAAAAAACAAAACAATTTATGGCTGAAGCTTTCAATCAAGGTATATAAGAATCTGAATAAATTTTCTTAAAATTAAATGAAGAAACCTTATATTTGAAAGATATAATCTAATTGTTCTCTAAAAATTCATGAACATTTAGTACATTATTTCAAGAAAAGATAAGTAAAATATAGATAAGTTTCATTTACTTACAAAGGTTAATTGGAGAATTTACTTCAAGGAAAATTTATTTTGTTAAACTAATACTTTTTATAAAAAAAAAATATCTAGAAATTTAAATTAAGAAATTAAAAATATTTAAGTATTTTAAAAGCTAAAAGGTTATATAATATCAAAAGATTTATGATAGAATTTTAATAGTATTTTCTTAATTTCAATAGTATTTAAAATAATTTGATGTAATTTATTGTATAAAATGAATGAGTATCGAATTTTTTTTCATATTATTATTTTTAGTATCAAATATTGAATAGGTTCCATTTTATTTTTTATTTAAATGTCTTTCTTTCTTTTCAATTAATTCTTTGAGCTTTTTTTCTAATTTTTTAAAAAGTCCTTTAATTCATATATGTTTTAAATTTTACAGATTTTCAAATGCCTCCTTCATTCGAACTTCTTTAGGTATATTTTTTAACTTTACCAATCTATTAAATATTGTAATTTTTACTAATTTTAACGGGTTTATAATTCTTTAATATTATACAAATGAATCTTAATCTAAGTTCCAATCAAATAAATTTGTATATCGTAATAATATATCTAGTTTTATAAAAAATATTTTATTAATCCTATTCTTAGAGAACTATATTAAGTGTAGTTATTAAGATGTAAAATTTAGGATTATATTCACTTGAATTGTTGCTTAAATACATCAGTCTTATCTTCTAATGTTTTTATATTTCATAATAGTTTTCCTTCTCTAAGATAAAAAAACAATTATGATCATAAATAGAGAATTAATAATATTAACAAAACTTTAGAAAAATAATATTTATAAGTCGAATCAATAAAATATCGGCTCTATTTCTTTTTCTGGCTTCTTGGCACCAATTCCAATTAATTTAATTAGTTTTCTTATTTACTGTATTAGGTCAAGAATAAAAGTAGCTGCTAAAATCAAAGAAAAAGTAAATATGTTCAACCAACCTAATTTGATTATACTCTCTGATTTCAAGGTCAATTCTATTTAGTAAAGATATAGTAAAAATGAGATTGAATTAAAAATTATTAATGTTTCAGTGATTACAATTTTTATATACTCAAATTAATTACTGAGTGGTTTATTGAGAATAGTGTGAATCAAAAATAAGGATTAAAAAAATGATATTCCAATTGCTTGAATTAATCCATTGTCTTACAAAAAAACAATTAAAGAAATAAAAATAAGTTTCTTTATCAATTAAATTGAATTATATTGGAAAGTCCATATATTGTAATTTTCATTTATCCCATCAAACATAGCTTAATACTTTGATCTATTTCGAAAGGAATTTTATTTGGAGAAAGAATTTGAAATGTTAATGAAAAACAAGATAGATCCAATTATTCCTGCGTAAAATAGACATGACAAGTAATAATTTATAAGTAAAATATTATTTTTTTCAACAGGATAATATGCCATTTGAATGGCACATGCAAAACTAATATCATAATAGTTTGATAGCAACAATCTTAAAATGGAATTGAAATAAAATTCAGATATTTTTAGTTACAATTATTTACGCGTACTTACCAAAAATTTGACAATTGAAAATCTTAGGCTAAATATTTCTTTAAATAATATTTGATTGAGTAAGCCAAATGTGATCCTTGCAGCAAAATAACTTAAATATGTAGTAATTATACAAAAAAAAAAGCTCTGGAAATTATTAAGGAAATATGCATTGATGTCATCCTTTTAAAATTTATTACTTGTTTCAATCACATAATTGCGATTGCCATCTAAAGAATCAACCAATTTTTAGAATCCTAAAGCTGACATCAAAGGAGAGACTGTTATCAGTTAAAAAACATCAAAAAAGATATCTAAATTAGGTGAAAATCCAATATTTATGTATTTGACATATGATAAATATTATAATTAATCCATGAGATTCCAAAATATTTCAGATTAGCCTGTCAATAGGCAAATTGATGATAAGCTTGCAAGAGATATTATAATTGCTTCATTAAAACTTGAAGCCTATTAGGCTATGAGCACTTATTCAGATGTAAGGACAATTGGAGTTTAGAGCTTAATATTACATTGGCTTTTAGCAAGAGTTTAATTAAATTCAGAGATGATTGGATCATTATAAAATTCAATTTAAAACATAGGTAATTCTACAGGAGATAAAAATGTAACTCTAAATTGAAGAATTAAATCAGCTACTTAATCATGAGAGATTTCAGTTTATAATGTCATTTGAATATTATACTTGTCATTTTCAAGATTTAAAATTCTAGTTTGAATATGATCACTAAAATTCTGATTAACATGTGAAGAGTACTTGACTTTTTAATTAAATGAAACTTTGATATCACAAGAGTCATAAAAATGAGGTGTAAGCACAATTATTGAAAATTCAGGTTATTTTTCAAAAAAGCATATAGAGAATGAATTTACATTAGAATTACATATCCAATCCTTTTCAATTTTGCATTAAGAATTGCAACCATCACCGTTTTCTTTATTTCCATCATCACATGATTCAAATAATTGAAGATAAAATCCATCTCCACATTTAGGTTAGCAGATTTTATCGAATAAATGCATTCCTTCAAGACACTCTTTGCAAATTCCTTCCTAACAATCAATACAATATTCATCACACATGAATTTACATTCAAAACAACCATCATTTTTAATTTAATTCATGTCATCACATTATTCATTTCCAAATACAAGGCCATCACCACAATAAGTAATGCATTAATGATTATCGATAATCCATCCCAATTAATTACATTCATAGCATATTCCTAATTCGCATAATGTACAGAGTTCTTCACATTAAAAAAGGCATTAATAACAGCCATCATATAGTAAATCATTACCATCATCACACTATTCATATGGATCCACTACAATGCCGTCTCCACAATAAGCAGTACAAAGATTATTTTAATTGAGAATCCATCCTGGTTTAAGACAAGCTTTACAAATTCCCGTTACACAATCAGTACATTATTCTTAACATTAAAATTTACACTCATAGCATCCATCATGGGGAATAATATTACCATCATCACATTCTTCCATTCCTATTATTAATTAATCTCCGCAGATAGTATTGCATCTATTAAGATTAAGTTACCATCCATCAACATTACACTCTCTGCATTCACCTTTGTCACATAATGTGCATTATTTTTAACATTAAAAATAGCAGTCAAAACATCCATCATCATCTTCATTATTTCCATCATCACATTATTCATTTCCTAATACTAATTAATCCCCACAAATAGGTTAACAATTCCTATTAATTATATCTAATTGCCATCCAAATGAAATACATTCGAAACATTATCCATCAATACATGTAGTACATTATTCTTAACATAATAATTTACAATCCACACATAGTTAATCAGAATTTATAATGCCATTATCACATTATTCATCATGTGCTACTATTCCGTCTCCACAGGTACTATGACAAGAATTTTGTGATTAATCTAAGTAATATCCTATTAAGCATTGAGAACATTCGCCATTTTCACAAATTTGACAATAGTAATCACACTAAATTAACATAAATAACAACCATCATATGGAATGTTATTTGCATCATCACACTGTTCTTAATGAGATAAATATCCATCTCCACATAATGATATGCATTAATTATTAAGATTATTAATTTAGTTTGATTCCTTATTACATTATAAACACTAACCTTGAAAACAATACTCACAATCTTCAGGACAATCAAATAAACCATGAAAACAACCATCTTCTGCCATTAAATTCATATCATCACATTGCTCATTACCTTTAATTTCTCCATCATTCAAGATTTCAAGGCATTTACCATATAGATTTTAATAGCCATTCTCGCATATTTTACATACTCCAAATTTGCAATCTAGACATGATTTCTAACATTAATATTGTGAAAGATAACAACCATCATACATTATTTAATTATTATCATCACATTATTCATCACCAACAACTTTAGAATCTCCATTACAAGAATAACATTTCCTGTCCAAATTAATTTACCATCCTTCTATGCATTATAAACAATCACCATTATGACAAATTAAACAAGAATCTTAACAATTGTATTTACATTTAAAACAGTTTTAATGTATTAAGTCATCGCATTCTTCATAATACTATACTGTAATTCCATCTCCGCAGATCGTTTCACATTTATTATATAATGTATCCAATTTCCATCCTATAGTATTACATTCTAAACATCCATTTATTGTGCATAAAGTACATTACTGTTAACAACTTAATTAACACTAATAACATCCATCATCTAACAGGGTATTTCCATCTTCGCAAACTTTTTCTTAATTCATTAATTCAATATTTCCACAAACTTTAACGCATTACTATATCAATTAGTCCCATTTATAGCCTTAAATACAAGCTATACAAATTCCCTTATAACATTATAAACAATTTATATCACATCTAATTTAGCATTATTTACAATGGCTTTCAGGGGTAGTATCATCACATTCTTCTTCTTCAAGAACTAGTATATTGTCGCCACAAATACTTTTGCAAGATCCATCTTATTACAAATACCAACCAATTGATTCATTACACAATTAACAGATACCAAATTGACATTCGATACAATATATTGAGCATTAATATTTACAATTGAAACAACCATCAAACGGTGCAATATTTCCATCATCACATTATTCTGGAAACATTAATATTCCATCCTAACATATTGGAAAACATTAATTCTTTATTAATTGATAATTATTTTAACAATCTATGCATAAAGTATTGACACAGGTTTTACAAAATTTATCACAAGAATATTAACAGGAATTGCATCCGTCTGATGGGTTAGCATTTCCATCATCACACATTTCTGTTAAATTGGCTACTATTCCATCTCCACAAACTGAATCGCATGTTCCATCAATTTAAGCGTACCATCCATTATCTTCATCACATTAAAGACATCTTCCAAAATTGCAATCAATACAGTTAAGAGAACATTGATATTAACAATTAATACAATTCCTTTATTATTCAGAGCATTATTGGAGTAATGCAAGTGAATTTCCTTAACATATAGACCAACATTCATTATTATGAACTTCATATCCACTTTTACATTGATAACATTTTCCATTCAAACAAATATCGCATGCAAAATTACAAGCAAATTTACAATTATGGCAACCATCGAATGGGTTATTATTCCCATCATCACAATCTTCTTCTTCTACTATTATTTAATCTCCACAAATTGGAAGACATGGTAAATTTATACCGTCGTCATAATACCCAGGCAAACATGAGCATTAATTTCTTTAAATACCTCTATGAAAATCTCTTACACAAGTAAGACAATTATATTAAGAATTACCAAAACAGTTTTCACAATACTTATTGCATGAAACACAGTTATTTCCTTATAAAAATGTAAATGGATTGCACAAACAAATTCCATTAATCAAATAAAATTAATTATTTATACATTAAGTACATTATTCTGCGCTTGTACATGTATTACATCCAGGTTAATTACAATTTTTGCAACTATAAGTTTCGGTCGATTAATTAAAATCTAAATATTAACTACTAACACAATTTGGGCCAGTATATCCTACATCCAAACATGCAGTTAAACTTGTACAGCTAGAACAAAGAGGAGGACACTAAATCATAAAAATAATATACATAATGAATAACAATGAAGTAATCAGATATTGCACAAAATTCCTTTGTTATGTTTGTAGTAGTTACATCACAATTAAATTCAACATAAAGAGTGTTAGAAAAAAAGTTTGTTAAACTTACATTAAAGTAACGAGTGCTTTCAAGACCAGTACGACCAATTAAATTTGATCCTCCCCCAGGGTTATTAAAAGGTCCTTACTATCCAATGCTTGAAGAAGAGCCTATCTTATAATAAAATGATCCAGTGTAACCATCTCCATAAGTTAAATTAAAATATATTGATGCTGCATAATGAGGTTTTTAGATTGTCCATGTCTTGATATATGAGCCATCATTCCAAACCAATATTCCTCCTAAAACTAATTTATTATTTAAAAAAGAAAATTTTTATTTAGTAGATAAACTAAATGATGGATCTGTTGTAGAATCATAAAATTATTAAATCTCATCAATAGTCATATTTAAATCGTAAAATCCTTTGGCTAAATATCTAGAATCTAAAAATAATCAATAAATAATTTACAAGGAATAATATCTTCATAATCAATACAATTTGAAGAATGAATGGGGCAAGACTGAACGCATTTGTTTTTAAATAATTTATATGTTAAATCGCACTATATACAAGTAGAGAAGTCAGAACATACTAAACACTTTTCTTAACAAAATCCTGTGTCTACAGTAATGTTTCTTAATCCCCAGGATTCACTTTCTTATTGAAGTGATCCTTTAATCAAAAGAGATGGATTAGGATTAGTGATTTAAAATATCGTCTCAATCCTTAACAAAGTATAACTATCAGCACAATTAAGATTCTTCTCAAATATTTTTACTAAATTTTCAACCTAGAAGCCAGATGAGTCTTTTGCAATTTTAGATTTTATTTAACCATTATATTAGATTTAAATGTTGCTAGTATCTTAAAAGTTAAACAAATAAAATGTTATTCTAATCCTGATGAATTTAACAGCATTTTCTAGATTCATTTAGTATAGCATTCCTTCATTAAATTACAATTTTCCAATAAAACTAATTCCGTTACAATTTTCATAAATTAAATCAGTGTTTTTTGGATTAAATTCATCTTATTCAAACAATAGAGGAAGATATCTTTGATTTGATTGAGGAATGTCGTTATCTTCAAATAATGTAAATTTTGATAGTATTCGATTATCATTAACACATATTTTATCAAAGCGTGCAATTGAAAAATCTCTACTGCATTCTTGCCGACAACCTATATAAGTTTCAGAAAATTATTAATCGAGAATGCAAATACATTTCCCTCCTTATACACTTTAACTGTTAAAACAGGATAAACATTAATTCTCTTAAGGACCATTACAAGTCAAACAAGTTGGATGGCAAGTATTAACATAAATTAACAAATTTTTAATTCCTACTTCCATATCACTGGTTTTAGGGCGAAAACAAATTTTAATAGTAAATTTGTTAGTATTAGAATTAGCTATAGTACTTACAATTGTATAGAATTCAAAATCCCTCCAACTACTACGACATATTCTAGCACTGTTCTAAATTAAATCATCTTCTTCGTAATCTCTTCTATATAATTGCTAATCACTTTCTGAATCTTTATTACTATCATAACTAACTTTTAAGTATGAATCTTCATCACCATCAGCTTCATCATAAAAGACATCAAAAATTACTTGAGCTTGATAGCCCTTATAACTAAATGATTTGTATAAATATCGTCTATCTTCGTCTAACTTTACATACTATAGTGAATTCTCACTACAAGTTTAGTAATTAAATGAAGTTTCGTCAGAATCAGAACAGCCATCTTTAATTTTCCAATTGTTGCTTATCATTTGCATCTCTGTAAAACTCTAATCAATAAGTCTCCAATTAGCTACAACTAAACAAATAAGGAGTAGCAACTAAGCACAAGTAATAAAATAAAAAAACATTTAATGATGTTGTGATGTAATTGATGATGAAAATAAATATTATTAACATTACGTAATGAATTTTCAACCCATCAAATTTTAACAAATTTTAGCATTTAGATACTAAAATTATGCTCATTTATTCTATTAGAGTGGTTTGAACTGCTAAATTTTGTAGCCAATATTTATCAGTCTTGCAAAAATTGATGGATTGAAATAATAATATAAATATAGAATAAATGTTATCTATTTATATAAGTTATCAAGCCTTAAATATTTTCATTGTTTAATAAATATTCTGAAATAGATCATTTGATTTCCAGTTAAAATTTGATTATATTCAAAGAGGATCAATAATTTTTATTTAGTTTTCTAAACAATACATAAATACAAAAAATTGAATAAATACACTCGAATAATTTTTTATAGATGTACTTATTCTTAGATAAATAATCTAATTTTAAAAAATAAAAGATAAGAGTGAATACTATTTTCATTATTGAACATAAAAATTAGTAAAATTAAAAAATTCAAACAATTATAATCATAAACAAAAATTTGAGGTTAATGATTGGATTTTATTAAGTTTATTTGGATTAATCTGATTTTAAGCACTCAAGTAGATGGAGACTAAATCATTTTACTTATTTTAATCATGAAAATTTATTATGTGAATAAATTTCTAAATATTAATTTTACTACTCCTTTAAAAAAATGAACCCATTTAATAGTGATTTAAATTAACTTGACTTTACGAATTTAAGTTAACAATAAATTATAAAGGGAACTCTTTCTTTTACAATAAATTCAATTCTTTTTTGGAATGTAAGGCTATACTATATATAAGGTATAATTCTTTGTAAGGATAAATATTTTATTCAATAGTGTTATTATTCTTAAGATCTTAAAGTAAATGAAAAACTTGTGTTATTCTTAAAGTATCAGAATTGAAGTATCATAATTAATTGACTTCTGTAATTAGAGTTCTAAAATTCTTAATGTGTTAGAAATAAAAATGATATATTTAATTAATAATTAATCAATATAATAATATATATTAATTCATTTTTTGAATGAATTAATTAATAAATAACGCAATTTAAATAAATTTATATGAATTGTATAATTATTCATAGAGTATAAAGATTAACTGATTATAATAAATTATTACCTTTTATACATAAGACATAATTATGAAATTGATTTTTAGGCCTCATTGTTATAAGCTTTTTAAACAAAAAGGAAATACAATTAAAGTGGAAAATGTTAAGAAGGTAATATTTTAAAATGTTGTTAAGACTTCCTAAATCACTATTCCTAAGGTAATAGGCTCTGTGTGAGAAATTCGTTTTAAACTTCTTTTTCGAACTTTTTAAAGAGATAATAGGAATAGATAAGAGGAAGTGAGCCTTATAAAAAGTCTTTGAATTAATAATACAGGTATGAAGAGGTGAAAAAAAGGAAAAGGATTCTGTACTTTCTCCTAACTCTGGGTATTTTGGGGACAAAAAAAATCGATGGGTTAAGTGTAAAAGTTGTGGAAATGGTTTTAGATGGAGGTTCGAATATTTGATAAAACATGATCCCTCTATGATTATTTTAATTAATTGGAAAAATAGATAGATTAGAGGATGGAAATCGAGCTAATGATTCGATAAGGCGCAAGGAAGATTCCTGGAGCTATTACAAGCTAATAAAGATATTAAAAAAAGAAGAGAATTTTTTAAAAGTAAGAGAATGAGAGGAGGTGTAATTTTATTGACCTTTGGCGCATGAATATGACTCATTTTCATTTAATATATAATCATATCCATTATTTATTGAATAAAATTATCTAAACTCAAAGGATTTATGTTTGTTATTTTTTTGAAGAAAAATAGAAAAATATCTGCACATCTGGAGAACGGAGATTTCTTGCTAATTTAATTTTGAAGTTGGAATCTATGAAGAAGTTTAGAATGAAATTTAGCATCCTTAAAATTAACTTAAGTACCATCTTTATATAAGTCAGCCTACAACTAAAACATTTTTAAATTAATAAGATTTGTTTAAGTAATCTGCTTGACTAATTTATAAAAGTACCCTAAACGAAAATAAAAAATTAATACCAAACTTATAAATGCATTTAGCTACAGAATGAATAATATTTCTCCTTTCGGTTAGATAACTCATCAACCAATATTTAATTTATTTTATAAAAATCTAAGTTTAAGAAGATGAGAACAGAAACTAAAGGGTTGAATGGTAAACATGTATTAAAATACAATTGTAAAGATGAATATGATGGAGTTTTTTTTAATGGTTAAAAACATGGTAAGGGTAAATATAAATGGGCTAATGGAGATTAATATTATGGAGATTGGAAAAATGATTATCGAGAAGGAAAGGGTCATATGAGATGGGATGATGGATGTGAATATTATGGAGATTGGCAAAATGACACTATAGAGGGAAAGGGCCAAATGAAATTTGATGATGGAGGAGAGTATTATGGAGATTGGAAAAATAATAATCGAGAAGGAAAGGGTCATATGAAATGGGATGATGGAAGTGAATATTATGGAGATTGGAAGAATGACATTAGAGAGGGAAAGGGTCAAATGAAATGGAATAATGGATGTGAATATTAAGGAGATTGGAGACAGAATAATCAAACTGGAAAAGGTCAAATGAAAGTGGCGGATGGATCTTCATATGATGGAGATTGGATAAATGGTTAAAAACATGGATTTGGAGTATATCAAGCAGCTAATGGTGAAAAATATTATGGTTAATGGGTATTTGACAAAAAAATTTGAATTCTATATTACATATTTATAATCAAAATATTATTTATAAAGATATCATAAATTAAAATTTATATATTTTGACATGAAAAAAAAGTTCAATTTGCTACCTAACAATTGAAAATAGTGATTCCATGTGAAATTTTTGGAATGAAGGTAATTGAAGAGTTGGAATATTGAGTTGCATATAGTCTTATTAATTAAATAAAGCCAATAAACTTACGTTGCCAATAAATTTTGCTGCAAGTGGCAAGTATATCTATCAAAGTCTCCTCTACAAAATTTATTTAAATCAATGTAAATGTCAAATAAATGCTCAAAATTTTATTGCAAATCGAAAGAGAGATAAAAAATTTTAATTATCTTACCTAATGTGCATTTGCCTTGTTTAGATTACTATATTCTTATTTATCTGTCTTACTCCTTCAAAATTTATTAGAGATTTATCTGCAAATGATGCATTAAAATTTATTCATTTATCATTTCGATAAACAAAATATTAAAATTTTGTTTTTTTTTAATTTTTATGAGGGTGCTTTTTAAAGCTCCCCTTCCTACCTTTAAGTTTACCTTTCCAATTTCTAAACAGAGCTTCATAATCTTGTTGCTAACACCTTATCTTAGACAGGATCTATTAGGACACATGAATAAAGATTTTAATTACTAATAGTTAACATTCACCTAACTTAGGACTCAAGATTGAAATGGACAACAGCACTGCAAATCTTTTAATGTTTTGCCTCTATAATTGGAAGAGGTATTAACTATCGAATGAGAAATAATCAAAATAAGTACAATAATATGTAAATCATGATTCTATAAAAAGAAAGAAAGTTGAAATTTAATCAACCTAGATTGAATAATTGAGGAGTAGAAAAAATATTGATTTGGAACAAAGTGTTATAAAATTTCTGTTAATTCTAAGAACTTTCTCATATTAGACATATCAGATATTCTTAAAAGATACCTATGGATAATTTGTTTTAAGTCCTCATGATTAATATCAAAGAAATAAAAATGTATCTCAATATCTTAAGTTAAATAGCATAGAATATTTATGAATATATATAATTATTTAACAATAAAGAATTTTATTGATTAAAATATATAGACTGCCAAAAAACCCATGAAAAAAAATTGAGGAGATGCTTTTGAAGCCTCAAAACCTCACTAAATCTAATGAATTTTCTAATTTTATCAGCCATCTAGAAATCTGAAACCTTTTAAGAAAGAAGGATCCATTATTAACATTATAAAACTAGATGATTAAAATATAATTTAGTGTAGAAAAAATTAGAACTTACTAAAAAGCTAATCTAAAAATAAGACAATTCAAACTTTACAAAGTTTAAATAAAATAAAAAGGCAGTATCCTTTGATTTAATGAAACAAAAGACAAGTGCTTAACTTTTTGAATTTGAATCTCGAGATTGAAATTTATTTTGAAATGATTATTCATTTGGGCTACCTATTCTTTATGAGAGCTCCTTTAAACAAAATACACTCAATTATTCATTGTTAACAATAATCAGACCTATTCTGGTCCCTAGTCATTTTATAAAACTTTTTGAATCACATTATTTTCAGAATAATTTGAAAAGAAATACTGATGAATTTTTTTTTCTTAACTTGGTTGATGTTTAATTAGGGAATATAAGTTTTATAAAATCAAAAATGATAAAATTTCTATTTTCTTAGACCTATCCATCATCTGGTTAAAGATAAAATTATTTGATATCCTAAAAAATGGTATGGATATAAGAGAAGCTATAAATTTATGAACCACTAAAGAAGCTTTAGATTAAAAATACTAGTGATAATTAGAAACTATATATTTACAGTCAAGCAATCAATTTATTCAAAAACACTAAAATATAAACTTAAGCAAAATTAACATGAATATAAATATTACAGTTATTATTTATAACAGAGAATATCAATAATTATATTCAAATAGATTTTATTTTAACTTAATGTAAGATTTTATCTAAGACCTTAAATTTATAGAATTTCAATATAAGAAAAATTATTGAATCCAAAATTAATTTACAAAAATTATCTAATTTAATGCAACAAAATATCATTCTCAAAATCAGATTGTTGAGACTCTTAAATTTTGGATTATTAGAGAGAGTATCAATTTAATTTTCAGTGAAATTATCTACTAACTGCATTCAGATAATTTAAATTAAATTTAATATATTTCCACTTAATAATTCATCGAAATTTATATAGAAAATTTTTGAACAAGTATTTGTTTAAGTAAGAAAGGATAGAAAATATGAAGGTATTCTTCATCTCATTTTGTTATAAAGTTCTCTAAGCCTCATATTTCTTCCTGCCATTTTTGAAGGTTTTTGAGAGTTTCCAAACATGGTACCCAAACACTCAGTGATGAAAGGAGGAAGGAAAGAAAATTTTTCGTTATCTAATTTTTTTATAATTTTAATTTTTTGATCCAACCTAATTATCCACAAATATTTTGTCCTTCCCATTAAAATTTAGATTCCTAACTCTAAAAAATCTACTTAATCCCTATTAAGTAAGGGGATAAAAAAATGGCAGATAGTTTCTTCTACTTTAGTTTATTACCCCTTTTATAGACCACAAAAAATATTCCGTATTGGTCTCTTTAATCCCTAAGGTTAGTCTTAATTCTAAATAATCCACTAAATTATGGTCTGCGAATAGCTAAAGCATATAGGACAGATCTTCCTTCCCATATGACTCTTCCTAATGTTGAGGGCTCTTAGATCTTTACTATTTTGAATAATTATGTGTAGAATAATCAATAAACTTTACTTTTATTTTGGAATACACAAAACTCAATCAAAATATAAGAATGTCTGAAATTCAATATTATTCAATTTGAAAAATCAAAAAGATATTTCATTATAATTAAAATATTGTGAGAAAAAGGTGGATTTTTTCATAATTTTACAGATATACTTATCCAGCAAAAAATTAAAAATTTTTTATAATAATTGATTTAGGTACAACTGTTTCTTTCAGGCTTAGATCATGAAAACTTTTTAAAATGTATTTTCCTTTAGTTTTTATCAGAATCAAAATTTTTATCTATAATCAAGACTACCAAAATTCTAAAAATCTTTATCTATATAAAACTTACCATTTTATAAAACGGAAGTGAGAGCTTAAAAAGGCGAATAAAAGTTTGTGATATGATAGCAAGCTTCCAAAATAAATGTTAGTTTAGAAACTAATTTATAGAAATAGACTTTGAATTGAATATATGTATATTTCTTTAAAACTACTCTAATACATCATACTGTTTCGGTTTGTTTAAAGTTAATCGATTGAATTTTTATTATTGCATTTATTTTGATGTTATTTTTTTTACCTAATTAGACTTTGCAGAAATCTCAAATATTTTTTAAGAATTGCTGAATGAATTAATGCAGTAAAAATAAGGTTAACTAATGAAGAGTAAAGATTTGGAGAGTGAATGTATTGAAATTGTAAGTGGCTATTGCTAAAAGTAGTTATAAAATGAATAAAATATGAGTTTAAATTTAAAAGTTGAAATTTATTTATGAATTATAATCAAAATACATACTTGAGTAAACTNTTTTGTTATAAAGTTCTCTAAGCCTCATATTTCTTCCTGCCATTTTTGAAGGTTTTTGAGAGTTTCCAAACATGGTACCCAAACACTCAGTGATGAAAGGAGGAAGGAAAGAAAATTTTTCGTTATCTAATTTTTTTATAATTTTAATTTTTTGATCCAACCTAATTATCCACAAATATTTTGTCCTTCCCATTAAAATTTAGATTCCTAACTCTAAAAAATCTACTTAATCCCTATTAAGTAAGGGGATAAAAAAATGGCAGATAGTTTCTTCTACTTTAGTTTATTACCCCTTTTATAGACCACAAAAAATATTCCGTATTGGTCTCTTTAATCCCTAAGGTTAGTCTTAATTCTAAATAATCCACTAAATTATGGTCTGCGAATAGCTAAAGCATATAGGACAGATCTTCCTTCCCATATGACTCTTCCTAATGTTGAGGGCTCTTAGATCTTTACTATTTTGAATAATTATGTGTAGAATAATCAATAAACTTTACTTTTATTTTGGAATACACAAAACTCAATCAAAATATAAGAATGTCTGAAATTCAATATTATTCAATTTGAAAAATCAAAAAGATATTTCATTATAATTAAAATATTGTGAGAAAAAGGTGGATTTTTTCATAATTTTACAGATATACTTATCCAGCAAAAAATTAAAAATTTTTTATAATAATTGATTTAGGTACAACTGTTTCTTTCAGGCTTAGATCATGAAAACTTTTTAAAATGTATTTTCCTTTAGTTTTTATCAGAATCAAAATTTTTATCTATAATCAAGACTACCAAAATTCTAAAAATCTTTATCTATATAAAACTTACCATTTTATAAAACGGAAGTGAGAGCTTAAAAAGGCGAATAAAAGTTTGTGATATGATAGCAAGCTTCCAAAATAAATGTTAGTTTAGAAACTAATTTATAGAAATAGACTTTGAATTGAATATATGTATATTTCTTTAAAACTACTCTAATACATCATACTGTTTCGGTTTGTTTAAAGTTAATCGATTGAATTTTTATTATTGCATTTATTTTGATGTTATTTTTTTTACCTAATTAGACTTTGCAGAAATCTCAAATATTTTTTAAGAATTGCTGAATGAATTAATGCAGTAAAAATAAGGTTAACTAATGAAGAGTAAAGATTTGGAGAGTGAATGTATTGAAATTGTAAGTGGCTATTGCTAAAAGTAGTTATAAAATGAATAAAATATGAGTTTAAATTTAAAAGTTGAAATTTATTTATGAATTATAATCAAAATACATACTTGAGTAAACTAGAAATATTTAAAATATAAAAAATTAAGACAGAAATGAGAATATTTATTTGTGAAAATCAACTTTTGTTTATAATATTATCAAAAACTTCTTCTATCTTATGTAAAAAGGTTTACTGATTATTCAATTTGTTCAGTGATCATATAATTTTATTGGCTTAATTTTGTATTTTTTTTAAAGTTAATTGATCTAGAATTTTATGATATAAATAATACGGTCTGTTGATAATTTAAGCTCTAGATATGCTCATTAAATATTTCTTTAATTTTTATTAATACATCTTTAATTTAGCTTATTTAACTTCTTCCTATTTTAACAACTCAGAAACTGCTTAGAAAGATGATTTCATTCTTATTTTTTTCATAAGGGTTGCAAAAGAAGTTAAAAAAGGGATTTTATATTTTTTATAGTAAAATCTTAAAAGGAAATCAATAAATGGATAAGAAAGTATTATAAAAAGAAATATCAATATATATTAGAGGATGAGAGAACTCAGGTAATTGTTCTACTCTTCGCTAACATATTTAAAGGTTGCCAAAAATATAGAAATAGAGCAAATTTATCCACTTTACAAATCTAAATGATTTAATTTGGATATGATATAAGGTCTTTTTTTCACTGATAGCAATTAGTAACACAATAAACAAAGTCCTAAAAAAGATGCCTTTAACAAAATGTTGGTCTCAAAATAAGTTAAAATCAATATCAAAACTGCTTTTTTTAATAATTTTATCTCTTCCCAATATTAGCATTATTTTTCATATTCATTAAATAAATAACATATATGGCCTCTAAGTTTGCTCTAATCCATTTTTTCTTTCTTCAATACTATCAATAGGAAGAGGGATAAAGGAATAAGTGCACCAAAAATCACCAATAATGGCACAATAAAATATGCCATCCACCAAAAATGACTATCTGTATTATACCTTAATGAAACATCTCCTTAAACATATTATTAGTTCGCTATTTCTCTTTAAGAGATTATGGAACCTAATCTAAGATATATTAATATTGAAAAATTACAATTTAATTAAACCTGAATAATTTATTATGTATAGACAGAGTAAAATATTGGAGACAACTCGAATTTTAAAATTGTCTTTTTAAAAGTAGCAGTAAACTTAAAATAATATAAGAATAATTAAAAATTGCCAACATATTAAAACAAGGATTACAAAGATCTT